TTTGCCCCTTTTTTGGCCCCCAATTCCTAAAATTTTGAGGCAATTACCCCCAAAATCAATCCCAGCATTCCCTTTGTGATATGGAACCTTGTGGTACAATGTCAGAGTGATCCATACACTAACACACAAGTTTTGTCTGGAAGTTACAAAAATGCTTATTTTTGGCCCCTTATTCCTTAACTGTTGGTACCATAACTCCCAAAATCAATCCCAACCTTCCTTTTGTGGTATTGAACCTTAAGGTAAAATTTCATAGAGATCCATTCACTTAAACTAAAGTTAGAGTGCGAAAACCAATGTGTCTTTGGACGACGACGCCAATGTCATACCAATATTTTGACCGCAAAATTTTTTTGCGGTCCTATAAATACTGCAAAGTTTCCTTAAAATTACCAATCTAGTGGCAGCAACCCAACAATGGATTGTTAGATTCATCTGAAAATTTAATGACTGATAGAACTTGAAATAATGAACAATTTTACCTCACATAAGATTTGCTCTAAATGCTTTAGTGTTTGAGATATAAGCCAAAAACTGACAATTTTATGTTTAAAGGGTCTATAATTTAGATTGACAACTTCAGACATACTAATATTTGACCTTTTCAAACTATACATTACCAAATCACTACTTAAGGATGTTCGCTACTCTATTTCAAAATAACAAGCTTTTTAAAAGACTGTTATAAATTGACAGTATATGAATAAAGGAACTAAAAAAACAGAAAAATGAAGGGTCCGTGTGCTTGTTTTTAAGATATAAGCCATTAAAAATTTGGCGGGAAGTGATTCTCTCTAGACTTTTCATACACTTAACACTGGCACCTTTTTCTTTCAAAAGCTATGGAAAAATAACAAGGATTTTATAAGATTTTCAAATATGGCTTTTTAAACTATGTAATAAAAATATGAAGAGAAAAGTAGGGATTTGCAGGCAAAATATTTTAATGGCACTGCATGGATAAAACCAGGGGATTCCGAATATCTGGTAAAAATTCAAAATCAAGAGGAGCGAACATCCTTAACCTAAAAAAATTGCCACATTTTTTCCAATGTAATTTGGAAGGAGTATGAAAATAATTTGCAAGTTATACACTATCCACACTATAGACCTAATAGAGCATGTAGTCAGAGTAGAAATACTAATTTTAATCAAACTTGGCATGAACTAAGATTAGGGAATTATAAGACAGTTTACCTAGTTTCGTGGCAATAGCATATATACATTAAAGACTATAAGTTCATTCTTATATTTGAACTTTGGATGTTAATTTTTTGCCGTTTAATGTTTAATGTTTAACTATCAAGATTTGGGCCTACATAATTTAAATATTGCAAAAAACTGCTTTTTAAATGTCTTTATAACTATTTATATATAATTGTGTATGTCACATGTATGTAAATGATGTATTTTAATGTAAAGCAGCTGAATACTCATTTGCTGTCTCAGATTTATTTCAATTCTTCAAAAGTCGAATTTATATGAGCCTATGCCTGAAAATAAATTCTTCAAAAGTCGAATTTATATGAGCCTATGCCTGAAAATAAAGATTTCAAATTAAGGGGGGGGGGAGGCTAATATAAAAATTCTTCATGTATATTTATAAAGATATTTGTATTTCAAAAGGAAAGAAAGTTACTTATCTGCTTATAGCATACCACATGAGTAGAACAAGGTCCCATTAGGCCATGCAAAACTGAATAACATTTAAGGTCAATATAGGCAGTAACACATTTTTACATGTATATGAAAAGGCATACACATAACAATGCATAAGCTAGAGGAAATAAAAATGTGTTACTTTTTGGTAATTTGTAGGCTAAGGTGACATCATACAAGAAGTATGAGTGATTCTTAAACTAAAATAAAATAATTTCATCCCCCTACTTCATTGTACAATTAAGTTTACTTTTTAAGCATAAAAAATATAAATAAATAAATTTTGAAGTAATACATGGTCCACACTAAGGAATCTTTTTGTAAAAAATGAAAATCAATGGATGATAACTATGTACTTGGAATAACAGTTAAGATTTCACATGATGAAATGTCTCGTCAGCCCAATATACTGATATCTCAGTCAGTGAAATAAATTATTGTTTGTTTTTTTTATAGTGATATGGAAGTAGTCCAAATAATAATGACGCATTGCAAGGCTTTTTTTTCTCTCTCTGACGCCGTAGGAAGTAGAAGTGAGTTGACATAACATGTATGTTATCATGCAAAATCAACAGTAATGAGTATACCTATGATTGTCATCGTCACTGCAAAAGGATCATTAATACCAGGGGGAAAGGAACCAATAAATTGATCGGATCCGATATGAAGTTCCCAGTAACGGAGAACCTCTAACCTGCTAACTTTGAGGTAATATTATTAGTGTCGGTGGTCTCACAAATGAATCAGGGTGAAGTGCAGGTTACATTAATTAGCAGCGAATCAACTTGTTATTATTTATATCGCAGTTATTTACGGTTAATTAGCTGTATATATCCCAAAACAGGTGCTCGGAGCTAGTACTAGTCTATGACTAATAAGTAACAATTACATTTATATTCACAATCAGTGGCGGATCGAAGGAGGATGGGATCCGGGGGTTTGACTCCTCTTTTGGTGAACGATCAATGCATTTAATGGAGACATATATTTGGACCCCCTTTATCCTGGCTGGAATCGCCCCTGATATTACATGTAAATCAAGTCCCGGGTTACTGTTAGCATAATAGCATAACGGTAATCACAAAGAGTGTGGTAATTTTAAAAAGGACGAGGATTTATAAATATACAATTCTTGAAGGTAAACGGACAGAAAGTCACAGGACAAAAAGTCTCAGGACATAAAGTCACAAATTGGATAGGACAAAAAGTCACAGGACAAAAAGTCACAAATAATTTGTTGACAATTGTTTGAATATATAAGAGAAAGATCTTCAAATAATTTCTTTTTTTTACATTTATTCATGTTTAAGTTTAGGAAATTGTTCATAAGCCTTAATAAATGAAAAATTATTAAATTTTAATCATGCAAATGATATATTTTTTGGAACCATGCAGCCATTCAAGTGCCAAACCACCTTGACATTTTGTTATCATAACAATTATTTGATCATCATTGATATTTATTGAATAAATTTTATTACAATGTTGCTTCATATATTATAGTTCAAGAAAAAATCAAAAATTTATTTTTAAAATTAGTGTTTTCTTGTTCAGAGAAAAATAATCTCAAAACTGAATTGTGACTTTTTGTCCTGTGACTTTTCGTCCGTGACTTTTTGTCCTGTGACTTTCTGTCCTGCATTCTTCTTGAAGAGGGGGGAGAGTGCACTTCACGATAATCGAAAAAAGTGCCTTGCACGTTATTTTCATCATCTTGTCTGAAACAGTCTGAATAATGAGCTCCAAGACGTAGCGTGAAAACAATAAGCCATGTGAAATAATAATGACAAACACGTTGTACGGACAAACCCTTAAATCCCTCAATGTTATGTCAAATGAATTATAGCGAGGAAAGGTAAATTTAATTTAATATCAAAACTAAATATTTGTTATATTTCGCTCCTGATTTCTCAAGAAATCATAGAATCAATAAATGTATAAATTTTAATTATTCATGTCTGTGTGAGATCCATTTCATGAGACCAAGGATTTCTATAAAATCCTTGATGGGACCCTTTATATATAGTTTTCTATTTTCCCCGGAAATTTAAAAAAAAAAATATAATCTTTTGGGAAATAATCCGATTTTGTTGAATTATTTCCCTTCATAATTACGATAAATCCTTTTAGTTCTTCAATTTTAAATTAAAATAAATATTTCATTTTGATCTAACGACAAATTTTTTAAATTGTAGTGGCATGGTCAGTCAACTGATTAGTTGCATGGCTGATTACCAGTTTACTGGCGAACCAGTAATTTTCCATATAACAGTGGCGTGTACCCTTGGGGTGTGTATAACTTATTTTGAATACCTTAATTTTCTGAGGAACATCCTGTCCACGTGTAATACTTAGTATATATTGCAACAGATGACATTAAACAAATTTTCTTTGTAGCATCGGTGTCCATTTCATGTTCAACCACTCAAAAATTACACAAAAAAGATAATATAATAAAATCATTAAAAAAACACTAGCAAATAAACTTCGCAATGAGTAAACGGATATTTGTGTTTTAAAGGGCTTATTTCCAGTGGATATATTTCATACTAGATAACTAGACCTGAGATAAACTTTTTTTTTGTAATATATATTTTATTATTTTCATAATTGTTACAAATTATAAAATGGTAAGTCAATGCCCGATGTGCCGCCGTCTGTTGCAAAACTACGATTTAATCATTTAAATGAAAGACGTGCACTGCCTTCATCGGAACAGAGGAAAGTCCACCTAGTGTACACTAAAGAGTATCCGTTTGTTATGCTGAAAAAAAAGAGATCATCATAAACTTTTTAGCAGATCTTCTCGTGTAAAAAAAAAACCAACTTTTAACTGAATTAAACAAAAAATTATCAAACAAAACTCATTAGAACACTCATAGCAACATTTTGTTTAGACCTGAGATAACTTATAGTAAGATTATTTATATAGAACAATTAAAAAAAAATGTCCGATCTGATACACGTACCTATAATGTACAAAATTTTGAACAGCTTCAAATATATGGCCTTATCATTGGTAATATATCATATTTGTATCAGTTATTGCTGAACGTGTAAACAAATTAAAATGAAGAAATAGGCTCGAAACCGCATTTTTTAAAGATATTTTTTTCAATCCCAAAATAGGTAATAGATATACAGATTAAAGTCCAGATGAGAAGATTAACTTTCTTTTCTACCGAAGTAAATATATTAACAAGGATTTAGGTTATCAATAAATTATTAAATTCATCAATTTATTAAATTTTAACATGTGAACCAAAAATTAAAAAAATAACTGACGGGAAATTGGCTATACCTTTTTGGTATTAGCCATGAAGTCATACATGTACCAGCCACTTTAACTTATTGTTTTCTTAACCTTTAAACAATACATTTTAAAATGAACTACTTTATTTATAGTAGTTCAAGAAAAAAAAAAAATATATATATATATATATATTAGATAACTCTTTCCTTTATATTCAATGGAACAAGAAGCGAATTCGTTAGCGAACTAGAGTAACTATAGAAATAGCGTCGTTTCAGGTCTTCTTCTGACCGGCAATCATGTGAAAACCTTAGCAGTAATGAAAGTGGAACGTCCAGTGGGCTGTGCTCAGCCACGTCCGAATGGGGACGTTGAATTCTTGCAACAACTCTTCGAGTGGACTGTAAGTAGCCTGGTATTAGGCCAATTTTCTGTCCCTCATTTTTCATAGGCAGTCGAAATTTTCCGACCGTATCACGGGCGGTCTCAATTACAAGACCTACTTGTACCTATCATATATTATTCGGTACGCCAGACACACCCGACATTAATCAACCAAAAACTCAATATTTTACAGTAGGGAATGAATATCTCCCACGTTCACTTGTCCCTTGAAGGATCAATATTAAATTTCTTCCAATCGCCCCCCCCCCCCCCCCCCCCCCTCCCTTTTTTTTTATAAGATTACATTATGGCGTATTTTTTTTTTAATTTTACGAAAGACCAACAAATCGATTTTTATCACCAAATTTGTCTTTGCTGAGATTAACACTAAAAAAGTATAACAAAACGTAACGATTGAAAACTCACAGTTCAGTTTTAAAGATATTTTTTTCTTTGGAAACTAACAGACTAATTTTCAAAAAGTTTTTTCTTGAACCATTATTTATTAAAACGAATTTGTAAACAAAAGTTATTCTTAAATATTGATAATGATCAATGATTGTGAAGAAAAATCCATCATAGTAGTTTGTTAATTTACTGGATCCATGGTGTTAAACATGTCACCTTTCTTTTACAAATAACTGATTAAAAATATGAAGCCTTTACTGTAAAATAAATCATTCTAATAAAAATAAATTCATCCAGATTTTTCTCTCATAACCTTTCAACAGTTATTGTAAACTAATTTATTCGAACTATAATAGTCCTATGACTTGCTGTCCGTTTACCAATATTTATACTTTATTAAGTGTTTTCATATTCATTGATCATTAACTTCATGTTTTGCGAATATTTATAAGGGGGTAATTATTATAGCCAGTAATAGCTAACAATTTATCTAAAGAAAACGAGATGCTATATTCAAATTCTGAGATGCGAATCTAGTTCTTTAAAAAAAAATTCTCAACAACAAAATTCTACACTTTCATCTATCTTGGTCTTTTTGTCTCGGCTTCGAAGCCGCCATCCCGTACCAAACATATCTATTCGTTCGCCAATATACAGTCATGTAAGCAATATACAACAGGCAGTAGATCTGAATTTGTAAATTGTTATTTTGGATTTTACCTGATTAGGACGTGTCTCGTTGAATTTTCTAATAAACTTACACACACATAATCTGACTTTTAATCGTAATGTTATGAGATCTATAAGAACATAGAGCTACTGTTTATATAGGCCTAGTTGCATCAGAGACATATATGTCTCTGGTTGCATGCAAGTCTTTACAACTTATATATTTTGGTATGCTATAGTTTGTTTTTATAGACTATTTGTCATTTGGTCGGGGTTTTTTGTTGTTGTTGTTTTTAGTTTTTGACATGGCGTTGACTCGAGTTTGATATATTATGCATCTTTTGTGCTGTATTTTAACAATTATTCACAAGAATGCTGCATGTTTACACATTCATCACTATACCGCATCTAAATATAGCTTTATTGTAAAAAAAAATAAGGAGATGTAGTATGATTGGTGATGAGACAACTATCAACCAGAATTTAAAATACCTGATATAAGCAATTGTGACTTACTTTCTTTACTCAGAGTGATCGTGAATTAATCAGATAAGCTGGAGGAGGGTTTTTTTTAAACTGTTTTTGACGCGTGCTAAAAAGTGCAGCACCTGGTAACAGGGGCTCATTTGACAAATTATCATCTTTCGTAATTTAAGTTATAAAATCTAAATTTAAAGTGATCTAAAATGTTCATGACTAACGAGTATTTTCACTTGTACGCTGTGAAATGAGTCTAAGAGTATATATACATGTATATCGGGATACTGACTGCATAGTAAAATATTTATGTACCTATTAGTTGCGGCTCATTTTGGTCTTTTAAGTAAGTGTCCTTCCCCTGCATTACTTGATCGCTTTTGTAAAAAATAAACAGCACAACAGCACTCGACATCAGTATAATTTGTACCAAAAAATGAAGAAAATATTCAAAAAGAAGGCTCATAAAATTCAAATATTGGTAAGCACGCACACTAACTTGTCACTACGGACATGATCTTTTTGTTAATGCGCCAAACTCGTTTCTTCCACAGGACGATGTCGATGGTGGGGGAAATGACGTCTTGCAAGGCTATTTAGGCGTCCCAGAAAAAAAATTAAAATAGCCTTGCCAGACGTCATATTTATTTGGACTAGGGAAAAACCCAACAAATCATTAGTTCCCCAAATGAGTATCCTAGTTGAAAGGTTTTTTTAATATGATATAGCTATTTCATATTGGAATGGCACATATATTCATGAAAAATCAACAAATGATCCGAAAGTCGGAAAGATGAATATAGTCCTCTGACTTCACAAACTTGGAAACAGTTGTGATGTTGCTTCGCTGAGCTATAGATAACCGTACGACCATCTACAATGAGCAAAATTCACACCATATAAACATAGGTGCTTGAGGACAGGAGTCGAGATTCACGTTGATAGTAAACATGCATATTAAGAGTAAAAATATGGTATATTAGTATATATATGGCACAAATAAGTGATATATATTGAAAAATCTAAGATTTATGATAAGAAGGGGGAGGGACTATGGGGGGGGGGGGGGGGGGGGGGGGGGGGGGGGGGGCTCAAAACAGGATCCTGTCCTCAAGCACCTATGCATATAGAAAGCTGTAAATATAATAAAAGGCCTCGAATTTGACAAACGTTAGACAAAAAAAACAAGAAGCCTAACATTTATAATAGAATTTAAAATAAAATTGAAAATAGAAATGGGGAATGTGTCAGAGAGAAAACAACCCGCCCAAAGAGCAGATAACAGTCGAAGATCACCAATGTGACTTCAATGCAGCGAGAAAATCCCACAACCTGAGGCGTGCTTCAGCTGGCTCCTAAACAAAAATGTATACTAAGAAGTTCAGTGATAATGGACGTCATACTAAACTCCGAAATATATAAAAGAAACTAAAATTAAAAATCATACAAAACTGACAAATGCCACAGGATCCTGACTTGGGACAGGTGCAAACATATGGTGGGGTTAAAAGCCTATATACTGTAAATTTCAGAAATTATTGCATGCATTTACTAATATTGCCAATTAACATAATCAGTCAAGGATAAAACTCTATAGCATGTATAGGGTTATTACAGAAAAATAACATACATTTGTTATTGTGGACTAAAAAATCAAAGAACTGTGATAACATATGCATGTTACATGTTTCAAAGGGACAATATACATCATTAGTTTTCTTAAAATGTACACCGGTTCTATTGATATTACTATTGTCTTTATGTATACTTAACTATAGAAAGATATAACAGTTCATAGCTCGCCAATCATGCATAGTACACCTATGTTATTACTGAAAAAAATATGCCTATAACTAACGGGTGTTATTACAGCTCCTCTACATCATTCCTAAGCATTTGCTCAGACATTCATCATGCTTAATTACAATGTATTTTAATTTATTGTAAGAAATAATGATCAGAGCATGTAATGAGGTTCTGCGCAAGCTTCCCAGTAATTCCCAAGTGTCTTATATAACAAGTTAAATGCCTTTAATAACTAATATAAAAAAGAAGATGTGGTATGATTGCCAACGAGACAACTCCCCACAAGAGACCAAATGACACAGAAATTAACAACTATAGGTTACCGTACGGCCTTCAACAATGAGCAAAGCCCATACCGCACAGTCAGCTATAAAAGGCCTCGAAATGACAATGTAAAACCATTCAAACGAGAAAACTAACGGCCTAATTTATGTAAAAAAAATGAACGAAAAACAAATATGTAACACATAAACAAACGACAACCACTGAATTACAGGCTCCTGACTTGGGACAGGCACATACATACAGAATGAGGCGGGGTTAAACATGTTAACGGGATCCCAACCCTCCCCCTAACCTGGGACAGTGGTGTAACAGAACAACATAAGCCTTGTTATTACAGCTAAGTTTATCCCTTAAAAGCCTCGTTCATTGATTTGCCATGGTTAATGAAAAATGTATTAATTTAATTCAAAAATTAGTTATCAAGGCTATGCATTTAGTTTCTGCGCAAAGTTTCAAGAGTTCCCTAGAGCCTACTAAAAATCAAAATATTTATGATTTATTTTACAAATAACAAATATATGTTATTACAGATTTAGAAAATTTAAGGATTTAAGAGTAGACAACTCATGAAAATATCTGTAATAACACATGCAAGTTATTTTCTGTAATAACCCTGTAGAGTTATATCCCTGACTGATAATCATGATAATTTCCCTTTCAATTTTTAAAAAATTCTGATTTAAGTTTTTGTTGTATATTGGGACTTTGGATAGTCTCTAGAATGCTTTCACCAATTGTTATGAAACTTTGGTGAATTGATTTTATATATTGACATAAACTCCCTTTTCATTTTTATGACCCTTAGTGGGTCAACCCTTGACCGTCTGTCCCAAAGTCATTGGTTTTTGTTCTCTAATTAAGTTTGCCTCAACCAAATGTTATAAAACTTTTACAAAAGCTTATTACCACAATACTCAGATCAAGTGTGGTGGTGTCAGTGTTACCGTTCTAGAGTTATGCCCCTTTACAAATGGAAAAATTGCTGAATTTTTGGTTTCCCGCTCTCTAACTTTAACTTTAGTTTGCCTCAACCAAATGTTATGAAATTTGCACACAATGCTTATTACCACAAAAAACAGTTTGAATTTTGGTGGTGTCACTTTTACTGTTCTAGAGTTATGTCCTTTACAAATGGAAAAAATGATGAATTTTTCGTTTCCGTCCTCTAAATTAAGTTTGCCTCAACCAAATTTTATTAAACTTTAACGCAATACTTTTTACCACAAAATCAGATCAAGTTCAAATTTAAGTAGAATAAATTTTACCGTTCTTAGTAATCTTCCTTTATAACTTTATATGATATGCAAGCCGGAGTATCATCCCCTATTTATTTTTATATAAGATGCAGAGTTATGGAATTTTAGTTGTTGGAAAATTGTTTAAAATTGTCCATTTTCACACTTTGGAAGGTTTTAGAATTGTATTTGTTCAAAAATCACGGCCTTAAACTTGTATACACTTGCAATATCCCTAAATGGAGCCAAATTATTTTCATGTTTTGTTTCAATGTATACCACTGTGTGCATGTCCTTTTTTAGCTCACCTGGCTCGAAAGGCCAAGTGAGCTTTTCTCATTACTTGTCGTCTGTCGTCGTCCGTCGCTGTGTTAACTTTTTATATTTTGAACTTCTTCTAGAGAACCACTGAATGGAATGGAATTAAACATGGCATGAATGTTCCTTATGAGGTTTTACTTGATCCAAGATGGCCGGCAGCGGGGGACTTAGTTTAAGATAGGACCCTATAGGAAATACATACAAATGTCTTCTTTAAGAGAACCACTGCATGGAATGAAACCAAACATAGCATGAATGTTCCTTATAAGGTGTTGACCAAGTGTTGTTACTCTGTAGCCGATCCATCATCCAAGATGGCCGCCAGCGAAGTACGACAATATTAAACCAAATATGGCCTCAATCATTATTAAAGTATGTGTTATGATTTTTATCTTTTTTATATGATTTCAAAAACCCAAATAGAGTCAGGTGAGCGACACAGGCTCTTTAGAGCCTGTAGTTTTTTTTAGGGGGGGGGGGGGGGGGTCTTAGTTGCGCAGTGCTCACAGTTTTTCTATAATGATTAATGTAGTTGATCATTAAAATTCATTTAAAGCATAAACCCAAGCTAAAAGGACAACAAGCTTATCAAGCACTCATGGTACAGCTTTTTATTAAACATGCATTGATATATATACATTAAACAGCAAAATGATTATTGATGCAAGATGTCATTAAATAATAATTTTTACTCTTTTTATGTGTAGGACAAGAACTATAGAAGATACAGAGAAATTATAAACAGCAGAAATGATAGGCAATTTAAAATTTGCAGAAGTCAACAAATCCTAAATGGTAAGTAAACTCATCATAGATACCAGGATTAAATTTTGTATTTACGCCAGACGCACGTTTCGTCTACAAAACACTCATCAGTGATGCTCGATAAGACTCATAAAGCCACTTTTATAAAAATTATTGCCCTTGAAAGATGATTATCATGATTATTATAAAAATAAAAAAGATGTGGTATATTAAATATGAAAACTATTGATCATGGCTCTAAGAAAGCAATTATAGGCCAGGGACGGCCTTCAATAATGAGAAAATCCATGCCCTATTGTCAAAGTAGTCATAATAAAAGGCCCTCAGATGAAAAATTGAAATAATCCCAACTGTAGAACTCATTGCCTAGTTTATAAAAAAACAAATTAAAAAAAAATAAATATGACAGATATGAAACAACTACAACCACTAAATTTTAGTGTCAGAATAAACTACAGGCTCCGAACTTGGGACAGGCACAATCAGAATATGGCAAGGTTATATAAAAATAAGAAGATGTGGCATGATTGTCAATAAGACAACTCTTCACCAGACAAGAAATGACATACCGGTAGATTTCCTGCAAAAAAATAAACAGTCCGGACTGAGCAGGAAATTTATACCTTTCCCTTAATCGAAAAGACACAAAGATCTGTTAGTACTCACAGTTACTGACAGCTAGTTAAAAATCAATAAAAACTAATACATGTAATAAAAAAATCAGGTTTGTGAGCACTCAACCCTACCTTAACTTTGGACAGTGGTTTAACAGCTCAACATATAAAGAACAAACTGTAAAATAACCGTTGCAATTGCCTCAATTCAAAAGATTGATAAAATGCACAAAATCAACAAATATAAAAACCCATAGACAAAAAGCACGGAATTGAGAGAACTCACAAGTAAGAAAGGAAATATTCTTAAAATGTTCATTAACATGACAAAATAAGCTTTTTTATTGCTGTTTCTCTCTCCATTTATAACATTTTATTTGTTTATTTTGTGTATTTATAGGTGATCAGACATCTTGGTTTTCATGATCAATAGGTCAATACTGAAGAGGACACTGAAAGTTGATATCTATCTACATGGTGCGCTAATTGGATTAATGTGAAATGGAATGTGTGCTTGCCTGCAAAAAAGAAATAGGAAATTTCATCATAATCACATGATAATGGCTATAAACAAAATGGAGTTCTATCATAGATGCAGAAATTCACAATTGTATACATGTAAATGCAACAACATATTATATATATTTGTCGAAAGAAGGGAGAAATGAAGAAAAAAATAGTATTTTGTTGTTGAAAGGAACACCAGCTTTATCCACTCATTTCATCGTTACCTCATATCAAATATACTGAAGAAGATCTTCGAAGAACAAATTGCAAAAATGTTTTCTCTAAGAATTGAAGGATATTGTTTAGTGAATGGAATAATTTATGCATTGAACTTTTACGTAGTGGATTGAATAACTGTACACACATGACACAGCAGCTGAAACAGAGGAAAATTAAAATTTACAAGAAAAGTGTTTATTTTATTATTTAATTTGCAAATATGAACGCATTCTTAAGAACACCACAAATGGTATGACATCCAAATTGGTTGCTTATTAACATGATTAGTGTATACAATTGAAACAATAACAAAGAAAACAGAATACTTTGCTACAAAAAATATTTAATAAATCAAAGTTAAAGTCATATAAAGTATGTACAATACCTTGACCTAAACAGTCAGACTCACTGTATTGTTTTTGTATGTCATGATAATTTTGAGGCAAAAATTTATTACAGTTTTAAATATCATTTTTATCATTTATTAAGTCTTGTAAACATTATGTTCATACTGTTTGTATAGTGAAGAAATTTACAATGAGTAAAAATAGGGGAAACCATTTCCTACAGGGAAAGTTGATGTACAGAAATTTCCTTTGAGGAAATTTGGAGAATAATGTTTTCCTTAGAGGAAATTTGTGGTATTGAATTTTCCCTCAAGGAAAAGTGTTTGTTAAAAATTTCCTCAAAGGAAATTGCAGTTGACAAAATTTCCTCACAGGAAAAAGTATTTCCTCAAAGGAAAATTTGAAGCTGCAAATTTCCTCAGAGGAAAAAGTATTTCCTCAGAGGAAAATTTGAAGCTGCAAATTTCCTCAGAGGAAATAGAATTTCCTCAAAGGAAAATTTGAAGCCGCAAATTTCCTCAGAGGAAATAGAATTTCCTCAGAGGAAATAGAATTTCCTCAGAGGAAATATTAATGCAGCAAATTCCCTAAGGGAAATGTTTTTCCCTTGAGGAAAATACAATTTCCCTTAAGGAAAAATCTTTTTCCTTTAGGGAAATTTGATTTCCCTTGAGGAAAACTACTTTTCCTCTGAGGAAATTGTTGAAAAAAGGGGCATAACTTTTTCAACAGTGGTGCTAGAGCCAAAAATTTTTAGGACAAATATCAGGGAACCAATACCAACCAAGTTATCAACTTCATTTTGACTTAACTCCAAAAATTAAGGTGACAACTTTTGCACTCAGCGGAAGTGCAAACTTGTCCCGGAGACTGTTATAACCTCTATCACACGTAAATTTATATATTTGTGTCATTGAATTGGCCTGGTGCATGAATATATTTGTTGGTTAACGCAAAAATATGTACTCAATGAAATTTGCTCTCTGATTTAAATTAACTACAAAAACTCTTTTTTAGCATTCAAATGAATGTTTTGTGTATATTGTTTAATTTAATGATTACAGCATGCATTACACCTGTTTCTTAGCCTTGTAAAAATACAGCTGATATTTAATTACACTAAACCATTAATGAATATGTTAATACGCTGCAGCCTTGCTAAATATATCGCTGTTAAAACATTGAAAAATATTTGCAATTAAATATAAGGACCTATTTTTCTTTTTAAATGCCCAATCGTCATAAAATCAATATTTTTTTTACAGATGGAAAGCTGACATCAAGCAGCAATTAGAACGACAAGACAAAACATGATGGACCACTATTAAGTAAATGAGTACAACATATATTAATGTAATGGTCCCAAAATTGAGTCATGGAAGAAGATTTCTGGATAATATAGTCCTCAAGTATAAAAAATATGTAGATGTGGTATGATTGCCAATGAGACAAATATCTGCCAAAGACATGAGAAAACCATCTTAATATGACTGGTATTAGCTCATTTTACTGGAAAAAAATACACACTTCATGTACAAAATATACTAGAAGCGCTAAGCTTTGCTGGTTCCAATGTAGAATTATTCATAGAATTTTACGAACTGATTCACCACTTTACAAGATGAAAATAAATAGTAGCAACATATGTATTTTTGCAAAGAAGAACAATACTATATTTACTGAAAACAAAGTTACAAAAAGTATTGCCAAATTTGAATGCTTTATAAAATTATTTAAAGGAACACAAGAACTCAGAGAAATACATTTCATTTAACTCTCTGTAGAGGAATATGATAAATCTCAAAAATTTAGTGGTGTCTTCTTAATCTATCATGTCAACCTTAGACTGGTTTGCTTTCCTTCCTTGTCTGCACCCTCAACTCTAATTAAAAATATGATACCAAAAACTTTATTGTTGCTGCCCTACATGCCAATGGCATACCGGGCAGTAAGTAAGTAATATAAATAAAGCAAAAATTTATATGTGCACCTGTTCATTGAATAAAAATTGGTTAATTGCAGGAGAATTTATCCTGATTTTTTTATATTACATATTATAATATTCCAATTCAATTATTAGGACAATATCAACCAAATATATTTATATATTTAATCTACAACTGTGAAAAATATAAGGACTATAAAGCAACTAAAAAAAAAAAAATTATTAGGTCAATGGTATAAGGGAGATAATTCCAATTGATGAAAAAACAAATTGGACTAAAATTTATTCGGACAAAACAGTCGAGGCAAATAGGAAATACCATAATATTATGAAATTTCATAATTTTATTGATATATTGGATCAAAGTGGAGTTGTCTTTCTTAGACGCCTAGTTTCAAAATGGACATGGGAGATAACAACTTTTGTCTTAAACGAAGTCGAAAGGAAGACAACTCATTATTATAAAAAGTTAACATTTAAAATATAAATTTGTATAACAATTTAGGAATTTATTAATTTGGGTTCGAACTATGGGTTTTATTATACACAAGGAGTAACTCTAGATAAATCAAACTTGACTAAAGATTATTTAAAATCTGGTGTAATGCACTAGAAAGAATCATTATATTTATTACTATTTTATTAGTCTCCGACATAGCAAATCATGCATGTGGAGGTCAATTGCGAATTTATTTACAGTTTATTTATTATGTAAACAAATTAAAGACCGTAAAATCATGCAAAATCACAGAAAAATATTTCTAAAAATAACACTGTAAAATATGTTTGAAAATCTAACAACGGGAGATAAACAAACAATCGAATTCCTCACAAAAACTGATAACTATGACAATAATTATTACGTTCTGTCAGTAGCCTGTGTACAAATAAGCATAGACATTTATATGCGATTGATGCGGATCTGACATTACAACATTAACAATCTACAAAGCTGAAAAGTAATTCTTTGCATCACAGCAAATTAATAATGTCCAAATGATGGACATTGGCTATCTGATAAAGAAAATAAATTCACTAAAAGCTTAAAAACAAACAGCAAAATGTCCATAATATTTTATATATACGTAGAATTCTGAGTTGAGGTGAATTAATCGTAACAAAGACTATTTTTACCTTTAATCTTTTTTAATTGCACATGCTCATGGAGATAAAACACATTTGGCAAATAATCTATTGTTGTTTGGAAAGAAACTACTCAGCATAAATTGATCGATGACAATTTGTTCACCATGGTTCCAGTTGAATGTCAAACTATTTGTACATTTAAATGCGTATTATGTGCATATTTCTACGTACATTTGTCAGATATTTCTATATGAAAGAAGTGATTGTATACAAATGCTTAAGTTAAAGCAAGATAAAACTGAAAAGTATTGATTCAAAACAGTTACATCAGTTAAAAACAGAGCATAAGTAAGGTCATGAAGTTTCCTCACGGCAATCCCACCTCAGGATATCACGTATTGATGACTTCTGACCAGGCAAAATAAATTATCTTAGTCAAAGTGATATTTCAAGCTAATTAAAATAAAAAAAAATCAGAACAAGATCTGAGATAATCAGTACTGTTATTGTAGTGGGGTGGGTGGCTAGGGGGTCGTTTTCTGTCGATTACGAGTAGAGCATGGCATCATTTGGATCAGATACTTTTGTAACGGGTATATTAAATTAAAATGATTTTCATATTTTGATTTCATTCATTAGAAATTAAGTTAGAGAATTTAATAATTCGCAGTCATTTAAGATAAAAATAAAAAAAACACAATATTAAAAAAGTGTTCCAACAAGAAGGGAAAAAAAAAAGACGAATGCGTATGAACAAGGGACCCATATCTTATTCGTCCTTCATATGCATATTTGTGGTTCTGCAACACAATGGAGTAAACATTTGAAGGCGTTAAATACATTTACCTTTGCAGAAATAGTCACATGATATGAATCATATTACAATTTATAATGTAAAATGTAAATAATTTGGAATACAATTTTCTTCGGTTCACATCTGTGTTTGTTGATAATCTTATCTAAGGGCACCTGCTGGGAGAGATGTACTTCCTGATAATTTAACAAAATATATAAATAACCAGTGACACAGTTCCAGGCTTACTGCTAGTGCAGTTTTATAGAATAGTATAATAATCTACATTGGAAAAGATTGAAAGAAATTAGATTTGAAGGTATACATGAATTGCATAACATGACTCGTAGGGTTTTATTTGAAATGTAAATACCGTGCATTTTTCAAAGTAATAATTTGTCCACACACAATGTTTATAAGTTTTTATACAGTTTGCAGATTCAAATTAAATAAAAAAAAAAAGTATCGCCACTAGAATAACATAAAATATTCAAATACACGTATAAAGCATAGCTATAGTGAATAAATTAATAATAATAATTGATCAATGAATTCATAGAATGATTTGAAGATAAAATATTAATTCGACTGCAGACCAACAAATCAAACAACACAATACAAAATAACGTAAAGTAGAGTTTTAACACCATCCAATATAAGAAGTTTCAATAGATTTAGAAAGATTAGATAAATGCTCATCTAAATATTTCCAGCTGAAGATTGAAAACATAATATAGTTACTACTCAGTATCCCGATCTGAAGTTGAATGCAAAAAATAAACCATACGTGTCAAGTAAGACGTATCAAAACACTGTTCCTTAATACTAACTACATGTCTGCACTTAATCTCATTTATAATCTTATTTATCAGTTACTAATGAATTTGTCAATGAAGGAAAACGTGTTCCTAATCATTTAACTATTTAACAAACTTTACCATCTCTCTCATGCCTATGTTCTTCTGGAATTTTTGTTAAACCTATTGACAATAAACAAACAAAGGCGCCATTTCCTTTAAACGTTTCTTAAGCTGCCTAAATTTAACTATTTTCCATCCATGTACTACATATGTGTTCATACACTTTGACCGTATATGTATAAAACTTATACAGTGGTTAATACAGTTTATTTTGACTGATTTCGATTTACGATATGAAAATAAGAAGATATTGTTTGAAACAGATACCAAATGACGTAGAAGTTACAACTATAGGTTAGCGTAAGGCCTTCAACAATGAGCAAAACCAATAGTGCATAGTAAGTTACACATTGCCCCGAAACGACAAATATAAAACAGTTCAAACGAGAAAACTAACGGCCTTAAGTTGGGGTCACACATTCACGATTTTTACTGCCGTCCTTGACAGAACCATTCCCGATTTAGATTTGTCAAACGTCTGATCAAGATTCTGTGAATCGGGGCTGGAAATTGAAACTTTAATTAAAATTTGTAAAAACATATATTGAATCATAACAATCAGATATTGTTCAGAAAGCGTCCAAGTTCGGCCGTTTCCAGCCGAATTTGTCCCGATTATACGGTTTTAAATCAGTATTAATCCGATTTGTATCTCTCACATGGTAAAGAACGACATAATATGTCCCGACAGCATCCCGATTATACCGAATGTGATCCGACAGAGTTCAGAGAGTGACCAGACAGTGAACCGACGCTGACGGAAGATATATATCCGTGGGTATTATTGCCAAATTTCGTATTAATAACGGGACTGATCCGGAACGGTTTTGGCAAAGACTGTTCGCATTAGGCAAGATCTTATTGCAATCTGGACTCAATCGTCAAAAAAACAGCAATGACACATTTCTCCAGATCATGTCCGTTCAACAGGACACCGTCCAGAAATCACAGAACATAATAACGATTGTTACGATTTCGATCCGATACAGCAGAAACTGTCACGACATAGTTACGATTGTAATCCGATTATAGATAATATCAGTTGAGTCTTCCCGAATGTTACGAAACTCACCTAACTGTCGGGTGTTTAGCTAACCTCTGCGGACCTACATATTAATTCGTGACCTTTGCATGCTATTCATGTAATGTTTGTAATAATTCACTAATCCATCATTTCAATAAGCGAATCTGTGTTTAGTATATACACTCTTAAAAATGTGTTTAGAGCCTAAACACTTTCCTAAACACATTTATGAAACCGATTTTTGACATGTTTTAAATCTAAACATGTTTAATATTTAATGTGCTAACAGCCTAAACGTGTCAAGCTATAAAGTGCTTAGAATGTAAAAATTTTTAGCTGTAAAGCGTTTAGAATAGAAACACGTTTAGCTAAAAAGTGCTAAGACTGTAAACATGTTTAGCTGTGAATTGTTGTATCTGGAAACATGTTTAGCTGAGAAGTGTTTTGTCTGGAAACACGTTTAGCTGTGAAGTGTTTTGAATGTAAACATGTTTAGACCATAAAGGGTCGGGAAGAAACATGTTTATCATTTTATTGTGAGAAGCCGTTACTTCATTAGGCCCCAATTAAACTAATATTCCGGAAGGCTTGACTGTAAAACGTATGATAGCTCTCAATAAAACAGGTTTTCATACCATCACAAAAAGGAGCCAATGCATCAAACTAAGAAACTGGAATTTCCATCTCAAAGTGAATGTGACCAATACCTTTTCAATCTCAATGAGTTTTTTCTTTAATTCAATTCACGCCATTCGACTATTGCATTTTTTCTTCATTTCAAATATTCGTAAAACAGTCTAGAACTTTTGAAATGAAATTATCATTATACTAATTCTAGCTTTAAAAACAAAATTACAACATATAAAACAAAGGAATTTATGTTATCATTTATTTCCAGTTTATCATTGAACACAATCAAAAATAAATTCATATCAAGGTACATGTACATAATATTGACCAATCGTCTACTTGTACCCCATCCCTACAACAAAACAATTTGAAAATGTCCTGTTTTCATTTTACAGGTCAATAAGAGCTTCTCCTTTCTTAGTACCCAACTGCTGGTCAATGGCCTGAAATATAGAAAAATATTGACAAGCAACTAAGTAGAATTAATATAAAAATATAAGAATACGAACTACAACACCAAAAAGTAAAAGCATGATTTAAGATCCAGATAACAACATTAGGACCGTGGTATAAAAACATAAATTTACTGATGAATCAATTGATATTTTTTAATATAAAAGTTCTTTTCATGCTTAATATTATTCATTTGATCAAATATATATTGGCATTTTTAAAATCAAATACACTTTTGATTCTTACCTAGCAGCATATTTGCTACTGTTCTTTATCTCCTCTTTTAGCATGCCAAGACAGATGATGATTTCCTCTGCACTTCTCTCATCTAGAATAAAACAATACATATCAATAAAATTATAAAAAAAAATCACAACCGCTTATAACTATTGAAATAAACAAGCATCTTTCTATTTATTTTGAGGAAATGTTGATTGTGCATATCGGAAGTGCTTACGAAAACAATGAACTCGATATGACACTGGATTTGCGAATGATGCACCTCATCCTGATAAGACTCGGCAGATTCTGCTACCCTTCATGTTCCATTATAATCTGCCGAGGAGTACCGAACGAAAATTATCCTCACAAACTCCTTTCCAAGAACATATATAAAATAAAAAAAATAAATGCAAACTTGCATGATAGAACATTAAACAACTCTTATCATCTATACACAAGATAGTTTGAACACTTAAAGCTCTTACAAGCACTTGTTTCGTGGGATGGTACCCCCTTTTCTCTCCTGCATTGACTATACGGTAGTGTACTTGTAAATAATGCTTATAACTGTCAATAATCATTTAAAATTGGCAGTACAAAATAAAAGACAGTATAATCATAACTCCTTACCTTTCTGAAACAGCCAAGTTACGGTCAGTTATGGTCAGAAGTAAACAGCGTGGCCTTTGACTTCGGGTTCTTTGTTTCTTCTTCCCGCTCAAAAGTTAGCACGTGATATGAATGCCGTATTCGGCCTAAATGTGTTGTAATTCTAAACGTGTCTAGGAAAGTGTCTAAATATTGAAAGTGCTTAGAATTAAAACATGTTTAGCTTTATATACTTGACAAAGTAGCTAAACATGTTTAGCACAGCAACATGTTTATTGAAAAGTCCTGAGAGCCAAAACATGTTTATTGCGAAGTGCTGAGAGCCAAAACATGTTTATTTTTTTATGTTTAGAAATTAAACACTTTCCTAAGCACATAAGTCTTGCAACACGTTTAAATTCTAAGCACAATTTTTACAGTGTATAATTTAAAAGTATGTGATATGTCTTGTCTAGTCTTGTCTTGTCTTTCAGTTTAAGCTGGGGTCACATATTTACGATTTTTAATGCCGTCCTTAACAGGTCCATTCCCGATTAAAATTTGTCAAAAGTCTGATCAAAATCCTTTGAATCGTGGATGGAAATTCTAAACTTAAATTAAAATTTGTAAAAAAAAAATATATTTAAACACGACAACAATCAGATACTATTCAGGAAGCGTCGATATTCAACCGTTTCCAAGCGAATTTGTCCCGACAATCCCGTTCTTAATCCGATTCTAATCCGATTTTTATCATTCGCATGGTAGAAAAGCACCGAATCTGTCCCGACAGCGTCCCGATTCTACCAAATGTAATCCGACAGAGATCAGACAGAATTTCGTATTAAGGGCATACGATACAATTACATGCAGGGGAGGTAATGACATTGCTAACGTAAACTTTTATTTTCGCGACGTCAAATTGTGACATATCGGGAAAAGATGCAGTTTTCTGATTTAACTTGAAAACGAGTTCATTGACCCCTCTTTTAAAAATGGCATTTGGTTTAATTACGTTTGAAGATTATTTGTATCAATTTTCATAAAAAAAAGTCAACAATGCAATTTTTTTTAAATTGGATAAAAATACAGCAAAAAAAGACGTTTTTTTCTAATTTCATGAACAACTATATCTGTCATAATTCAGCATCGGCCATAGTTCAATAGAAACCCTTCAAAACAATACACGAATAAAAATGTTTGTACAATAGATACCCTATGAAAATAGAAAGATGCGAGAAAATATATATGTGATAAAAACAATGTTGATGTGCCAATGAAATCGTTACGTTCCAATCTTCACTTATTTTTCTACTTGATGTGTACGCTACAGCAATACTAGATTGATAGTTGGTGGTTTTACCTCCAGTGGCAAATATGTCTTGCATGTACAAGATACGAAATGCTGAATATGTTGATTTTACAAAGTAGGAGCTGATCTGTATGAATGTTATGAATTGGAGACTGCCACTGAAGCACTAGGGTATGGATAGGGCAAAAAGTCACCAGCATGTAAACCAACCCATCAAGGGCCCTTACTCGTGCACCATCCGATTTAACGTACACGTTCCGATCGTACGTGGCTGCGTATCTATCCATCCCACACGGTTTTAAATACCAGAACGTAAGACGTCCAGAAGACTTAGTTCAGAAAATAATGTAAACAAAATCGATTGCTATTCAGGAATAATTAACATTTAATTGGAAATTTAAGACACTTTGCTGTTTCAAACACGAAATTAATTCCGATTAATTGCAAAATAAAATGCATCTCGAAAATTTAATCAAAGAGAAAGTAATTCACGACCACTGCTAATTTGGGACAGGCATAATACGAAATATAGCATTGTTAATCATATTCGAACGCTTCATCCTCCCTCAACCAGTGACAGTCGTGTTGTTACAGTAATGTTACAGTAATGTAACAACACAATACTCTTTTCATGTTTTTAGTTTTAAAATAAATTATATTCTATAAGCTACTATACAGTATGGGTTTTCCTCAATTTTGAAGGCCGTGTTGTTGACTATAATTGCATACACTCACTTCAGATGTCTCATTGGCAATCATACCACAAATCCTTATTTTTAAATAACGAATGGCCTTGTTTCAAGCTAGTCGGAGGTTTCTTGAATACATGTAATGTTTAATAAAATGAGGGTAACTAATCAAGTCACTGACATTTTCATTTCGATAACATTTTCGTTTGGTCAAAAGGCTATAAATTGCAAAATCGTCCTACTTTTTGTTCACTTACGGACAAAAAACACAGTTTTTAAGAACCTTGACAGTTATTTGCGTCCAACTTATATCGGACATAGATAAATTAAATTTATTAAAAGTACAAAACTTTATTTCGACGTTACAATTTGAAAATTGTGTGTATTTGTCAAGAGATGCATGAGCATTCAATATTTTTAAATGTCACCTTGCCTTTTTCAGATGATTTCATCTTCTGATAGTTACAGTTGTGTAGCTAGATGTCATCACAGGAAAATGTCTCTGCAATTGTTTACTTATATACCTTACTAAAATACATACGTATACAGGTTAAAATGGTTTAAACAAGTGCTTTAGATATGTCCCGTGTTTCCTTTAGATTTCTTATATTCATTCAGTCAACTGGATTTTAGAAATATTTGTGTCTATTTTTGTTTTAATTTGACGAAATATTTAGGTTGCAGGAGAAATGTAATGGCCAGCTTTGCATGAATACTCCCCCCCCCCCCCCCCCCCCCCAAACCTCAACCCCAAAAAAGGAACGTTTAGTTCGTTTAGTTAACAAAAGAGACACACATTTATGTTCCTTAATGTATGATTGATTGTTGGTTGCTTAACGTCCAGTGGCAAATATTGCATGCATATTTAGAACGACTTAATTAGTTACATTTGTTAACAATTATATACAAATAATTATACGGCTACAGCACCTGATGAGGATGAACGGCCTTGGTCGACAGTTTTGACCTAAATTGAGATCCGAAACACTTGAGTGGGAAAGACACGGACACATAGTCAATCAAAATATTATAGCAAAATAAAAAATAATATTTAATATCTATGACATATAATTAAAAACTTGGCGCGCTCTATGTAAAATGTTGCTTGGATTGGTAATGGACACGTCTTTTATTATAAAAATTAATATGAGATCAAAATCTATAAACGTGTTAAACAAAACTAAATCGATAATACTATTGATATTGTAATCAAGTGGAAATGCAAACAAATCATTGTAGTTTCTTATCTATTAACTGTATAGTTCATCTGATTTTTTTGCTCCTTTGTCATTCTTTTTTTCATTGGGTTATTGTCTTGTTAATGCATGCGCCATTGTCTTTTTATTTATAGGCTTAGTCTGTCGTTTATGACATTTTTTTTTTAAAGATTTGCTGGAAACTAATGTAAAAAAAAATAATAAAAAAAAGCATTCGTAGTACATTTTTTAACACATGAAAAGTAAATGATCAGTCTTTCTGCCCATCCCCCACCCACCTAAAAGAATATCAAATGGTCGTCCCCTCACTGTGAGTGTTCCAATTTGAAAAGTATGATTTAACAATTACAAGGAAACACAAAATTAATTTTAAAGATAATATGTGAACAGCAGCTATGATATTGTTAAATTACACGAATGAATTTGTACCAAAACATTACAAAATATCTACTTTAAATTGATTAGTAAATAAAAAAATTAATCATTAGTTGTACTTCAAGTTGTTCTACTGAATAGATCCCGCCAGAATTTCTACATCAAGGATAGGCTTGGCATTTGATATCTTTGTGGTTAGAAAAACCCCATGCATACGTTTAAAATAGGTTTGACTTGATTAATTTGATGTAATCAAGATAAACTGCTGACTTCGATATTCTCACACTATATGTACTTGTGTTACTTTGAAGAACAAAAATTATATGTATTTTGCAGTCGCATTTGATTTATTAATTTTAAGAAATCTCAATGAAAAATACAACGAATCCTCTGCAAAAGTGATGGATTGATTATTGATACAATAAAAAAAAAAGAAATTATACAAGAAGAATGATGCACACATATTTTGAATGATATAACACCCCCCCCCCCCCCTTTTTTTTCTTTCTTTCTTAAAAAGATAAATTACATTTAAAAAGTTGAGTTTATGGCAGAAAACAGTTTTGAAAAGTATACTTATGTATATATATATATATATATAATTAACTTTAAAATAAAATGTTTGAAACTATGATCATTTGCAAACTGTTCATTTATTTCGTTACTTTTAAAATCACTCTAAGACATAAGCCCGGATTTACTAATATATTTCTACAATTTTATCTCAGCATGTTATCAGTAATCTGTTATAGATAAATTATGTGGTCACACTTTCTCAATGGTTCACTAATTATAACCAGATGTTGACTTAGTAATCTAAATGTTCAACTGTCTTTATCATAAAAAGTTTTGTATAAATTAATATGTCTCTGTCATTCCTACTTGCCTCATTGTATTTTCAGATCTTTCTGAAAACAAATATGAAAACTTTTATAAATTTTATTTTTATCATAAGAAAAAAATATAAAATTAATAATAAAAATATGAATATTTTAATTAGTTTATTACGATATTATGGACATCTTCCCCTGCATTTATATGAAAGAATTTTGTTCCTCAACTTTAGTTTTTATATGACCGCAAAAAAATTTTGAAGTCGCATATTGGTATGACGTTGGCGTCGTCGTCGTCCGAAGACACATTGGTTTTCGCACTCTAACTTTAGTTTAAGTGAATGGAAATTTTACCATAAGGTTTAATACCACAAAAGGAAGGTTGGGATTGATTTTGGGGGTTATGGTACCAACAGTTAAGGAATTAGGGGCCAAAAATAAGCATTTTTGTAACTTCAAGACATAACTTGTGTGTTAGTTTATGGATCTCTCTGACATTGTACCACAAGGTTTCATATCACAAAGGGAATGCTTGGATTGATTTTGGGGGTAATTGCCTCAAAATTTTAGGAATTAGGGGCTAAAAAAGGGGCAAAAAACAAGCATTTTTCTAGTTTCATGACAATAACTTGTGTGTAAGTCTATAGATCTTTCTGAAATTGTACTACAAGGTTTCATATCACAAAGGGAAAGCTGGAATTGAGT